CTACAAAGAAAATATCGGTCTCTCCATTCCAGGTACGTCCGGTCCATACCATCAACTGGCGCCTTGGCGACTGGGTGAAGATGATGTCCTAGACCGTAGCGACGTTGTCGGAGCTGCTCGATGTTGGAGGTCATCCAGATCGAGAGTACTGGTCTCCAGGTAGCTATCCATGGGTGACTCCATACTAGAAGTTTCGCAGCTGTTTGGAGGTGACATGAATTCAGGCTGCGACTGGAGATGACTTCATATTTTGGTGTACATGAAGGTGATGGGCGAGAGCCAGCTCCTGCTTATCGAGGAACATCTTGGGTATCTTCCGCCCTGGTACTCGTATCCACGTCCTCTGTCTGGGCTGCGAAAACTTTGCTGATATGTGACTCGGTCGAAATGACTTTTTTTACCCTCCCTGTATACGCTTCTCTCTACCCCTTCACTGTCAAAACCTGCCGATATTTAGGTGAAATTTGGCACCCTCAGTCACTGTTTAGCAGACACAAGGCTTTTGTTCAACCAATTGTTCCCCGAAAATAAAGAGTAACCACAAAGTGTAGAGATTGGTCACATGAAAAAAAATCATGTGATAGCTCAACCACTGGACTCTCATGTGACCAGTCGTCTCTGATCGAGGTAGAAAACTGCTGCTGTCAAGTAAATGCATATAAATGTTACAGCATATAAATGCAAAACAAAATAATGTGGAAAATATTTCGAAGAAAGAGTAACAGAAAAACACGAACCTCGCCGCAGCATTCAATCCACACACTGGTTCCTCGAACGCGAATCGTCGAACTCCTTTCCCAGAGCTAAGTGAGACTACCGACACGGAGCAGTACTGCCGATCTGGTACGGTCGTATATGTATCCACCATCGCCACGAAAGGTCTTTGATCAGCAAACCTGAACTGGATCATAGTAGATTGCAATAGTGATAATTATAACGAAGCATTATTGGAGCCCCCCCCCCTGGTGACTTTCCCCTCATATAGAATAGGGGGGGAGCGCATGATATACAGACATGTTTTATGTTAGAGATGCGCCAACGAGTAAGGAGATGTAATTAACTTTTCCGCCCATCCGACTAACGAGTCTTCTAAATAATAGAGACTATGATTGCGAAGTAACGCTATGAAAGCCGAGCATTTTGACAATGGAGGCAAGCCAGGAGCTCTCATCTGTGGCAACGGGACTAAAAGACGTCCCGCACAAGCGCCTAATTCATTTGGCACGAAACTGTGCAGTAAATCGTATCAACTAGCTAAGAAACAACGCGAGCGCCGAACTGAGTTCGCCGTGCCGACGCATCTCGGGTCCCCTGCCCCGCACTCTTGCCAACAAACAACGCTCCACTGAAGAATGAAGTACCGTAATAAATTCATTTTTTTTCTGAAAATGATTGATTTCTTACGTACATGTCAATCTCCTCACTGTGCAGCTCGAAATTGCCTGACAACGGCACAAAAGCTCGAATCGGACCTTGACGTTCTGACATCACCTCTTCGCAGTCGCCGTTTTCCTGTAAACAACAATTATGGAGGAAAATCTTAGAAATACACGGAGGAAAATGGAGGAAAAAACGTAGACATACAACTCGACCTAAAAATCGAACCATGCTCACTACCACAGCAAAAATCCTGCTTTTGGGTTATGAAATGATCACCGGTAACCGTGGTTTCAATCGGACAGTTCGGTGTTTGGACTTTGCAACTGATCAAAAAATCCCACCCATCAGATGGGAACTAATCTATAGTTGTCTACTACGGAGTCTTAAAATCTGCCCACAAAGTCCTAAATTTCTCCACTTCTCGCCCGTCCCTGAATTACCGAAACCCTTATCACAAGTTTCTCCAACTTCAAGCGCCAGTTTCTCATATCAAGGAAATTTCTGAATTTCCCCTAGGAATCGTGACCGACTCGACGGAATATTTAGTGGTACATATAGTGCGAGGCGGAGGTTGTGTAGGTGGAAAGCTGGTGCCTTACCACCTCGAGCGGCAGCCGGCCATCAAATGCCGGAGTCGACTCCACCGCAGGCCAACAAAGCCTTCTACTGCCTCGGGGACGGTAAATGGGACCAGGTTCTGTCTGGAAGATAAAACACTGACTTGTAGCTGGCCACCGCAAGTCATTGTATAGGCCACATCGCATTCAATAAGCCACTACGATTCTGAATGGAAGTAGAATGCGTGCCGCATCCCAGGGATTGATCAACGGCGAAGACTTTATCTTCATCCTTACATCAGTGCCACCAGGAACTTGAAATGCACCAGCAGTGAAAAAAAATTCCTTTAACCCGAACTTAAATCCCCTTCCGGACACCGCCCTCTTTTAGAACATAACGATGTCTGACGCAACTCCCATGTTTCGGCGCATCCCCTTCCTTTCAATTCACTGCACGTACTTCTTCAGGAGTAAGGCGCAAAGTGAGCAATGCGCAGAGGGATGGCTTATCCGCCGCTTAACACATCAGTTCGATTATCGCGGGAAGGGCCTCCTGACTTATTACAGACCCCTCCCCCTTCCACACTACAGTCATATCAGCATTCACATGTATTCTGATACTGGTTACTAAACCTAATAAGCAACTTACATTGAACGTCCACACTTGGAAACCTCTCGCCAGTCCAAGAACAACCAAATCCATCCGTCGACTCGGTTGACCGGCTAAACCAAAAATATAAAATAACTGGAAAGAAAGAACTTTTTCAAGTCAGTAATCAGTCCTAATAAGCCGCAAGCCAATTTCTATGCATCAACCTCTTGGAAGAAATTGCTCTCATTAGGAATTCGTTTCAGAACTGCAGAGAAATCGATACTTCGCCGGAAAAGGTCCCTATTATAGGCCAATTACGGGCGAATCTCGGAAACAGGGGTTTCGCAATCGGGCTTCGGTACCTCATGCAACTAGTAACAGAACGAGCATAAAATCCATCTGTATTCATAAATCGAATATGAGCTTTCGGAACACTTGTTCACCGCAGTGAATAAAAATCCTTTTGGAAAAAGTAGTTATCCAGCTGATGGCGAATCAAACCAAAGTTGAATCTCTCTAATTCAAAATCCCCGAAAAATGTCCAAAATGTTTCATAAAATAGACATGGCTCATGAAGCCGAATCTACAAAAAAGTGTTTAAGGGTATAAGATTCGACACTGCTTGAGTAGGGAGGGACATTTTGCCTTTCGATATTTTCTTCTGGGAGTTCATGTAAAAGAATGGGTCTCAGTTCAGCGACACCTGTAAACTTACGTAAAGCTGCGAAATGGTTTGAGCGAGCCAGTTTGGTATCAGGGATTTACAGGCCTCTACAAGGTGGTCTGTAAATCCCTGATACCAAACTGGCTCACTCAAACCAGTTGACTCTCGCACCTTTTGTTACCCCCACCAAGCCGAACTCCCCGAGAATTCTAAGATTCAAAATGAGTGCTAAGGTTTGGCTGTTCTGCACTGATGAATCCTTTTGGATCAGAGCTCATCAGCGTTGGGAATTCCTCGACGAGAAGGGGTAGAAGGGGTCGTGTGTCGTTTTGACCAGTAATTGCTTTGTCTAATGGATTTCCTGAACTGTAGTCTCTTATCCGATCAATGATGTCATGCAGATTTTCAATATTCTGGGTAGCTGGTCGGGTCTAGCCCATACTACCGCCTGCCCTAGCCACCACTTCAACGTCAGACACGAGTCGGAAAAACTCATTTGGAAAGTCCTCATCCATGGAAAATGTGCACAAAAGCCTCTGGATATGCCAAGCTCAGCGCGAACATAGTTGAGTGTGGAGAGGGGGGGGGGAGGGACTCTAGGCAACGCCCCTGTCCCTTCCTCTACCCATGGACATTTTTCCCAATATGATCCTGCTCAAATTGATCCTCTTAGAGCGACCCCTTTCGAGTCAGCGCGAAACCCGTTTGTTTCCACTCGCGCCGGATAGTGAGCCTGCTTTCCGCAAAAAGTACTTATGGCTGGCGCAGACCATATTCTTCCGCTGCGAGACTATGTCCTTCGGAAGACTTCGGTGTCTGTTGGCGCTATGCTTGTATTCTTAGGCAACGTTCCCCCGTCCCCCATCCCCCAATACGGTACCTCCCCAAGCTCTTGCCATCAGTGGCACAGACAACTGAAAGCACAACGGTTCATGGAATCTCCCACGATTCAACATTTGAGCCACTTTTCACACGCTTCTTCACAAGCTGGGCACTTCACTGACCGCTGTGGATGAATTTTTGGTCAGTTCAAGCGGGAATCGATTATCAAGAGATTATAAATTTTATCACAACCAAGTCATGTACTGATTTGATCGGAAACCTGTAGATTCCAACAGAAACGATTCCCCAAAATTTTTGCTCGAGAGGGCTGCTCCTCATTGCCAGCAAACGACTTGCTGACAGCTATTAAACTCCAAGGCTGCTTTCAATCTTCGGATTTCCCCATCAAGGCAGATGTGTGAAAAATTGGTTTCAATTATCACCCCCACTCGAGATCAATACTCTCGCCCATATTTGAGTGTTAATGGCTCGCAACGAGGCGTGAAATCCGCCTGAGGTATTCCCCATATTCAACACTGGTGTACTTCTAGAGTGATGTCAGCCGAGCCGAGCATCAGATAAGCCAAGGAACTTGGTGAAAAGCCCCAGATTCTGAGAGCTCGTTAAATCTTGCTTCTATGCTTAGGGTGGCATAATCTTCGAGAAATAAGCTTCCTAGTAGTACTTTGAATAAGCTTTGGTAAAAATCCCAAAAATCAATATTTGCATGGTTATCCCTACCTCGTTCAATGGTGTGCAATTCAACCCATTCAACTTTTTCGACCATATGTGCTTGCGAATGATGTTGTAATGTGACGTCATGAACGAATTCGACCACACTTGACGAAAAAGACGACGTTCTGCAAGGAAGAGAACGTTCTGTAAAACCTACGGGGAACAATAGCAAAAAAGAGCGCAGTTCGGCGACGGGGGGGGCATCTTGCACTTCTGCTACTTCCCATTGACTTGTCGAACCGTAAGGTGGACACCTGTGAATCTGTGAAGCCACGACATGATACCACCTAAAGTTTATAGAGACCACCTGTCAACTCTTATAAAGCAATGAACACAATGGGAAGCAGCAAAAGTGCAAAATGCCCCCTCTGTCACCGAACTGCACCCAAAAAGTAACAAAACTATGAGAAAATCATTAAAGAAGTTCATAGGCAGCACAACACTTACGGGACTGGTTGTGAACGTGCAATTTGGCCCTTCGAATAGTTGACTGATGAAGTACGATCACGCGATGGTCGAGGTGGTGCACGTGGTGTCGTCGAAGTAGCCGAATTTTCTGCAAAGACCTAGCATTGATCAATACCAAGAAATAGAAGTGGGCGGAACCAGGCAGTTTTCCGGTGGTGCTAGGCGAAAATCCAGCGACCATCGACTTTCGTCACCCATTCCCAACGCTTCTTCGATAATTGAAAAAGGCCCCGCGAAAAATCAATCACTATACATTAATCTTTCCTTAGGGATTTCTGCTAATCGCTGAGATCTTCACCTACTACACATCTCATATTAGCTTTATAAAAAAGCTAAGGAATTGAAGCTTTCAGCTAGATTAATCACTTTTTGGATGCGCCACGCATCAGACTTCCATACAGAATCATAACATTTATTGCATGCGGTATGGCTTGTGGAACGACTTGCGCGGGTCAGCCGATGTACATGTCAGTTTTTATACGTGCCCAGGCGAATGTGGAACCAGTTTACCGCGCCCAGATGGTGGAAGGTTCGGTCGCCCTGGATGGGTTCCAAAATTCGTCCCATGCCGTGTGTGTGCTAGGATGTCCACATGCAGTCCGCGACCTCCTGCTTCCGACCAACTCAAATTCACCGAGACGGAACACGAGATCAAAGGAAAACCGAATAAACAGAAAAAATAAGAGGGGGGGGTCGAAAGGACGAGGTGAAAAACAAGAATTCATATAAATAATACCTGGAAAGAGGCGGAGGTGACGTAGTGGCAAGTGGTACGCTACCATGCGCACGGTCCAGGGATCAAATAATGGATGAGAGTTGAAGCATTCTGCCCTCCGGAACGAGAAACTGGCGCCGGATTCGGCTGGGAGGAAGCAGAAGAGCACTGATCCTACATCGGCTGACCCCAGCAAGTCATATGTTAGGCCACATCGCATTCAATAAGCCACTACGATTCTGAATGGAAGTAGAATGCGTGCCGCATCCCACAAAGGGATTGATCAACGGCGAAGACTTTATCCTTTATCCTTATTAATACCAGAAAATAACCCATGGAACTTTCTCGTTATGAGAACCCGAACAAGACCCGTCCGTCAGTCAGACAATTTTCAAAAGTGGCGCTATTTTCGCATGATGCACAGGAGGTTCTTATGAACATTTTCAAAGCGCCTCTGTTTGCGCTAAACAGTACTGTGCAAGTATGAGTCATCATACAATGCTTTGGTTAAAACATCAGGCGCTATTCACCCTTTAATAGCCTTCTCGTAGAAATTCAGGTCAAATTTTGATCGAATTGTCCCCGGAAGGTATAATTGTTCGAATTTTGCTTCATGATTGTCTAACTCCGAACCCGCCTCGGACTCGTAGCCAGCATGGCGCCTGCATCACATGTGCTGACGCCAATACACTCGTTGCACCAGACACGCTGAGCTTGTCGCAAGAGGTAGTTTGACCACCTGAACACGAATATCCCATTTGCCTGGCATCAAAACGCCTAGCGCGGGTGCCGGCGCTATTTTTTTTTTTTTTTTTTTTTTTTTTTTTTTTTTTTTTTTTTTTTTTTTTTTTTTTTTTTTTTTTTTTTTTTTTTTTTTTTTTTTTTTTAACTGGCCAATATCGCCGACATTTGTGACGCGGACTTTCGCTTGAAGCGGACATTCGTGTAAGGTAGGCAGAATACCACGGGACAAAGTTTGAGTCTGATGTACTCTAGGGATAACTTTAATCAAAAGTAGCTTAATACTCTGAAGGGAGTGAGGCAGTAAGAGAAATTTCATTGCTGTATTTTGGCCGACAAGCTCGAACTGGGTACATAGTACATTATGATCATCAGCATCCATAGTCCGGAAAGTACTACAAATGGGAAATCCGTGAAACAAAGAATCAGCTGACGGGCAGCAAAGTCAGGGGATGTTCTAATAATGGAACGACAAATTCCTTTTTTCATTAAACCGCCATATTTCTTTGAAAAAGTGAGAGTGAAAAACAACGTGGGGATGAAACGATATTAAAGGTAGTTGCACGATATTTTGGTACTTGGCCTAAAATGCTAGCAGGGCGCTATATAGTGGGAAAATGGCGAAAAAACGAAGTGAAACGGTCAAAAACTGCGAAGAAAAGCCTTCGCTCTTAATGACTCAGAAAGCAATTTCGGACGAGTTTCCCGTAGGCATCTTGCCAATAACCGCTACGGTAGGTACGGCTGCACGTATGTACTCATATATCCATGCAGCACCGCAGCCGCTTCATATCAATCCCTTCGCTTCATATTTTACTTCGCAAATGAAGCAATACGAGCATCAGGTACGGTCGTCCATTTGTGGGCGGGCGGGCGTGGTGGGCGTTTGGGTCGGTATGTTGTAGCTTGATAGGGCCTTATAAGGGTACCTTCCTTGGAAAAGGCGCTACGCAGCGCCTGCTCAGG